CAAATGTGAAGCTGGGTTAGAACTTTTGTGCTTCTTTTCAACCCTTGTCCTCTTGCTGTGAAGACCAGCCTGAGTCAGATCATGGAGGATTAAGGATGAATGCATTACTCAGCACCCTGCAGAGGTTGGGTCAAACACCTTGGCTTTGAAAAGTTTACTCTTTTGCTTAGTAAGCCCAGAAATTTCAGGTCCAACTGCAGAGTGAAAGTTCGGCATTCTGTTGATGAACATGGTGTACTTGAAAATGATCTACGGCTGTTCTAGACGTCACTCCTCTCTATTTGTGTGTGACCGTGTCTGAAATCATTGGATGGGGTCACCAATGAATCTTACCTACAGCTGCTGTGTTGACAGGGAGATTGGTTTCCACGTAGTATTCCTGATAACATCCATGCTTTGACTTAAAGAAGAGGTTTGGCAGGTTAAGGGGGGAAAATGCAGAGACGTAAGGCTGCCTGTGATAACACTACTTTGAGACAAAGGGCAAGGGATCTAGATCAGGAGCCCACTAAGGAGAAATATTCTTGACCAATGTGTTAGGCAGAATGCAAGTGGCTTTTCATGTGGATCAGAGCAAGTGGTACCCTAGGAAGGGCTGCCGAGCCCTGGGGGAGAGGAGACCTGGGCCCACACCCTGGGCTAGCTCTGCTGAAGACGAAGAAATTGCTGATCTCTGCAGGCAATAAAAAAGGAAAGAAAACCAGGGAGACTGGCATGTGTGTAAAGAGCAGTGACAAACAGTGAACCAAACCAGGAGTAAATGTACTTTTGTGCTAATTGTTTTGGAAGTTGCTTTCAAAGTTTAACTTATCTTAAAATAGAACCAGGCAATAAGTCTTAAGGCATTTGGGATTTTACATACTTTTCATTAATTATGTTCATACTCCAGCTTAGACTGTGGAACACTCTTCAGGGGAATCCTAATGTGGTGAAAGGCATCATCACCATTCCCATCATCATCTCCTAGTGTTTGTGAAGTCTTTGTGCTGTGGACAAGGAGTCTTTAATTAGAGTTTGCTTGTGTTTTTCCAGGTAGCCCAGCCATGACCCATAGGAATCTGACTTCCTCCAGTCTGAATGACATTTCCGATAAACCGGAGAAGGACCAGGTAAGCACAGAATGCTTGCTTCTTTAAAACGTAAGACGACGCGCATGTGAGAGATGCTGGAAAAGGGTTAGAGATGAGGGACCGTAGTGTGCGGAGGGGACTTTGCACTTTCTCTGAGGGAGGGAGAGACCGCGAAGGAAGCTGGAGTCAGAAGAGCAGAAGCCGCGTCTTTCTCCCAGCCCTCCCTGATGTGGCCTCTTAGACAGTTTACATCCTGAAGCTACAGTTGTCTTAGCTGCAAAACAGTAATCTTCTCAGACTCAGATTTATTGTGGGGATTAAAGGAGATAATTTATGAAAAAGTGTTTTGGTGAACGATAAAGGGCTAAGAAATGCCGACAAATGGTAACAATTTGGGAGGATACGTCAGACAAAGGCAGTGGTAGTTCGGTTGTCTCGCTAGCTGCGTACTCATTTGTGTGTTAAAACATACAGCAAGTCGCCTACTTGAAATGAAGAGCGATCAGATTGTGAATCTCTGTTCGCTTTCTTTTGAGGAGAATATGGTATCAAGTAACTGTGCCATTTTTCCAGTCGGGTGGGGTATCTGTGGAGGGAGATTTTATTTTAAGAATATAGTATATTGAAATTTATAAAAGTATGCTTCCTAAATAAAAAATCCTCAAAGCTTCAAAGAAATGAAAGCAGCATATTTTAAAAATGACTGAAGTCCTGGCCTGTTTCCCCAGGGCTGTAGGGAAAGTAGCATATGCTGGAAAGAGCAAGAACATGAAGCAAGACAGTTTGGTCTTGGTACTTGTTCCGAAACTGGCTAGCCGTGTGATCATGGACACGGGGTTTCTCCTCTGTTAAATGGAAACAATAATATAGGACTCGCCTCAGAAAAACAAATATCTGATTCTTGCTCTTATAACTTACTATTTTGTCTTTTGATGTAATAGAAGAGTGTTTCTAGTTGGTCTCATGCTTGATACGCTAATTGTATGGTCAGCCTTCTTATCTGTGGGCTCCGCATCCATGGATTCAACCAACTGTGGATAGCAAATATTTGAAAACAATTGCATCTGCACTGAACATGTGGACTTTTTTTCTTTATCATTATTTTCTAATTAATATAGTATAGCAACTATTTACATTCTGTTAGATATTATAAGTAATCGACAGCTGATTTAAACTATATAGGAAGATGTGTGTAGGTTTTATGCAAATACTACACCATTTTATATAAGGGACTTGAGATTTTGATATTCAGGGGAGGTCCTGGAACCAATCCTCTGTGGATGCCACAGAACGACTGTTTATAATTTGTGTGACCTTATTCTCTCTCTCTCTCTCTTTCTCTGTCTCTCACACACACACAAAGTAGATGAGTTTGAAAATTCCTCTTTTCACATTTTGCTGTTTTCTTAAAAGTCATATTTATGATGATGTTCCTCTTAACCTGGCAGCACTTGTAGTAGCGACAGAGGTTTGTAGGCCTTGGCGAATTCTGTAAAGTACAGGAAAGGTATAGCATACATTACATTCTTTCTTGTAAAATGGCTCCTTCCTTCCTTCCCTCCCTCCCTCCCTCCCCACCAGTACCCTAGTAGGGCCTTCATTGTCTCAGATCTAAATTGCTACAAAAGCATTTGGAATTAATTCCTTATCCCTATTTTCTCTCAATTCAAGATACTTCTCATATTATTGCCTTCATTGTTCTACACTGGATTAGAAACTTATAATGGCTTCCTGTCAAGTTAAGTTCCAAATTTCCTGTATGACTTTTGAGATCCTCTGAAATCTGGTATTATCCTTCTTATCTTCATTCATTCCTGTTTTCCCCAGAAGAGGGACTCTCTATTTGGATCAGGACTAATTTCTTGACTTTCCTCCCCCTCACGCCGAGACAAATTCTTGGCTTCTTGAGCCGTTCCCCCTTCAAATGCTAATGTGTCACCTTCCTTTCATCTGCCTATGTCTTGAAATGATCAAGGAGAAGATTGTTAGAAATACTGGATACATTTGTAGATGCATACCTGTAGTGGCAAAGGGAGAACTCGGGCCACTAGAAGTTCCCTCCAGGCTGTTTGCACATTTTGTCTCTATTCAGTATTTTCCACGCACAGTCTGCCAGGAGTCTCAATACTGCATAAGGCAGTACACTTATTAAGTTAGGAATCTATCAGGTTGATGGGCTTTTTGAGGAAGGCTTCTTTTATTAAGGACAGCTCTCCTCTTGCCAGGAATTTGTCACTAAGCAGCTGGTAAATGCTGCCTGAGAGAAATTTCCTAACTTCTCGGTGTCTTCATATCTGGGCATACGCAGAAGTCTGATGGCTTAAGATGTGTACTGTGTAAGATTTTTGATTCCAGTCGTTGAGGAAATATGTTGGAACATTATGATTTGGGGATATTGATTTTGCTATAAAACCTATATACATGGAGTCCTTAAAACCAGAATTTTTGGCACCTATCACTAGCATCTCGTAGTCATCAGGGTTCATGTTAAGATGAAGCCAGGATGATTTAATCCAGGAGTTTTATTCTCTTTTGTTGGCAAAGCCAGAAAATGAAGGTTAATGAATATATCATTATAAGAGCAACTATCCATGTAAATTGTATCTATTACAGTAGCCATGGTTAATGCAATGAGTTCTCCCTTCTCAAAAGAGAAAGAAACTCCATTCTTTATTTCTTATCAAAGAGTTTGAAGAACAGCTTTGTAATTGATCTATGATCTCTTCTACAACCAACGGTACAGAAGGAAATCAAGCTAATATTTCCAGTATCTATACCTACCATTTTAGTAACTTCAAATACAAAAGCTCCTGCATCATTTTAGGATTAAAAAAAAGAAAAATGGATTTGCAAACAAGATGAAACTATGGTAAACTGGGCTTTTATTTTTTAACCTTTTTTTCTCTGTTTGGGTAGGAAAAAAGGTTGCCAGGATCAAATTTGTTTTGAAAAAGCTTTTATAATTAATTAGCCAATGTCCTGGAAGTGATCTTGGCAGTCAAGTCAAACTTGTTCTGTATGCTTGTCCAAGTTGGCCCAACAAACTTCCATGCGACCAGGACTGAAATTTCTGATTGACTGATTATTCTGCCTGGATACAATTTGAACAGTTGTGATGCTGTCTTGCGACTTCCTGGAGCTATTGAACTTCCCAGTAGCCTAAGAAATGGGCTTACTGTTCAGAGTTATAAGAGGAACAGAGTTGCTCTTTCTGACAGCTACACAGTGACGGAATTTGAGGGCATATTTTTTTATGAGATTCTGTTTTGGGAAAACAGAAGAAACAAATCTGTGGACTGCACTTTTTTTTTCAGGCTTTGCCAAGCCTATGTACTTATGATTTTAGTCAGCGGCTGCTTTATTGAGAAATAGCTCAAAATAGTTAACAGCAGAAAAGCATAGCCAAAATTTAGGTGAGTCAATGCTTCAACAATATTCCAACTTGGATGTTATACTTATTAAGCAGAAAAACACCTGTGGGAACATAGATTTAAAAAAATACATCTGGAGTTCATCTAGTTGTAAATCTACACAAATAATCTCTTCTATTTTGTTGCCATGGAGTTTTTTTTTATTTTACACATTATCTAGTTATCTTTCTTGATTACCTTAGATTGATTTGTTTTCCCATTTCCCTTTACTCTTCTTCTGTTCTTTTCCAAATTTACATGCGCTTGGGATGGGGGCCCATCAAATGGAGTGGATTTAGTTCCAGTTTTCGTGTGAATATGGAATCAGCTATGAGGATAAGAAAGTTAGTTTTTCTCATCATTTTACCTCTTAGCTTTAACTCTTGTGCTTAGTGGTACAATGACTTTAAAGAGTTGACTTTTTAAAAATTCATTAATAGTGCAATAACATTTCACAATTACATGCCCTACCTTAAGGGAAATTGCAGTCTGTAGATTGCAGTGGGTGTAGTAGATACAGAAATATCTTACAGATTCTCAGGGAAATACTTGAGGCTCACTGCCCTGTAACCTTGTAACTGCTTATCTGGTTGTTATTTCCATAATAATCATTGTTTAACTAGCTTATCTGAGAATCTTCCTTAGGAATCCTGGTGGAATTTGGCCTAAGCTTAATGTCTAAAGTATATTGTAATCATTTTCAGCACCACCTATTGCCTATGATTTATAAACGTACTTGGCTGCCTTGATTCTTGTTTTTGAAATGTGGGTATTTTGCAGAAAGAGACCTAAATTTAAATATTTTGTCAGAAAGTAAGAGGGTGAAACCACATATAGGTTTGAAATTGCAAAGCCATGACTATGTCAAAATGAAATCTAGAAGGAAACATTCTGTGATTGAATGACCCCAGTCCTTCTCTTACACATACGTGATATAGGAGTAAATAAACCCAGTCCAGCTGAGATGACTTCTTTCACGATTTTGAAGGTATATTTCCATCCCAGGGCTCTCAAAAGGTTCCCTTAGCATGGATCATGGTTTCATAATCACACTGACGGCAAAGTATTATACAAAAGCACCTCCTTTTCTTTCCCACAGCTCAGCCAAAAAGCCCGGCAGTTCACACTTAGCATGGGTGGTCTTACTTCAGCCCTCAGAGGGGGTGCAGTGACTAAGAAAGGCTCATGTTTTCTGAGGTTGTAATACTTGTCTTTAGCATGTTTTCAGGGAGCAGTGAGACCCTGCTAAGTCAGGAGAGCTCCAAATGGAATCACATCTGTGAAAATCCGCAAACAAAGATGTGTTGTGTGAGGAGGTGGTTCCAGTCCTCAGACCTCCTTAGTCACTACAGTTTTGGTTCTGTGTCAGCTTTAAAATGAAGCAGATAGTGCAACTTGAAGTAAACTGGGCTCTATCATGTGTTTTCAGGCAGGAACAAAGGGAACCTTTCGTAACATTTAGAACTATGGTAACTTAAAGTAACTACAATAAATTTGAACTCCTAAATCACTTCATAACTGTATGCTGCTATGACTTGAATTCATTCAAAATGTATATTCTGTGCTAGAAAGTGTTCTCTCTTAGTAGTAGGTTACAGAGGTCAGTGAAAAAGATACATCTTTTGTCTC